CCCTACTCGTTCCCTATAAATACTAGGTTCTTCTATACAATTTTATAAGGTGAGAAAATAAATTACTAGAATTATAGGATCCATTCTAATTTTCTCTCTTCTCCATTATTCTTGAGTCAATAAAATCTCTTAATTCCCCTGTCATATTCTTGTCTTCTTTATTCTTTTACTTGATCAAATACTTTATTATTATTTGCCATATAACTTCAACATGTCAATCCGGTGGTTTGTTCCACAACAATATGTATAAACAATATAAATTACTCTTAATCTAATAACTTAAACTTTCAGACGAGGTTGACCAGCACAAACCTCTCTAGAATGCGCTTGATCTATTATCTATCTCATTAACTACTTGACTTTGAAATTTATGGACAGGTTGAGGCATGTACAAGCAAGGATATTGACGTGCCAATGCCCATTTACAATGTACCTTACAAGATCCTCTGTAAAGTTGTCAGCGTGGTGTTACAGGTATATCATTTGCAATGCCGAAGAGATTAACGTTCTTTGGAAATAACATCTAACTTTCTTGCGAGGTTCTATACAAATAATTGGAGTATATATAGTAATTGCCTAAGCTATGTTAAGTAATGTTAATCTTTATTATTCTTATATTATCTTTGTTTACCAATTGCTATTATGTAGGCTGAGCCCAACACAGACGAAACTATTGCGCATATTACTTTGGTACCTGAGGTATATGAAACACATTGACTGATGCAATTGGTTCTGTCCATTATATATTGCAGACTTCTAATCATCATATATTTGGAGACCTTCATATATCTCAATGCACTTACTGTGCTTATGCATTTTCTGAATGCTGAGTTGTACGATTCCTTCGTCAATTCTTTGCTTTCTTATAATTTCAAAATCTCATTGATAATCACCATCGTCGAAAAGCATACTTATCCAATTTCTCCATCATTAATTGATTTATTTTCCTGAGCTCTACATGTGAATATGCAATTCTACTTAAAAATTATGGATTTTCGCAGAAAGAAGGAGAAAGCTCACAGCACCGCACCAACCCATCCATAGCTAGGGAATGTTTTATACAATCCTTCAGTAAAAAGCTAACTCCATCTGACACTAGCACACATGGTGGCCTCTCCGTACCAAGAAAATGTGCTAATGAATGCTTTCCGCCTCTGGTTAGTCTTTGATGATTTTCTCCATAAAACTACCTGATGGTATATAATATGTTGTCTAAAAAGGAATCAATGTTTTCTCGAATTGTATTGCCTTCACCTCGTTTTTTCTGAACTGTTGACTATTTGATATTTTGATACTCTATTATTATTTCAATACATGATGTTGATGACTGTGAAGACATGGATCTGTTTTTGGCATACTTCCTCAGCAATATTTCTTCTTGCAGGACATGTTTCAGCATCTCCCTTCACAGGATCTGGTTGCCAAGGATTTGCATGGGATAGAGTGGTCCTTCCGTCACATATATCGTGGTATTAGAACAGGGATCCATTTATGGAATTTAATTGACAGTTGGGCTAGCTTTTCTTGTTAGTGAACCTTTCTTGAGTAACACAAGAATCTTGTACCATCTTTTTTGGTTCCTTGAGTGTATGTTTGGTGCACAATACTATCTTTCTTTTTTTAATACTGCTTAGTACTATCTAATCATCCCTACCAGACATGTCTCAAGTGGCTGATGTTTAGCGTATCTTCTTTTCCACCGCTTCTAAATATAGGTCAGCCAAAGCGTCACTTGCTCAGCAGCGGCTGGAGTAGTTTCGTGAATTCAAAGAAGCTAAATGCAGGAGATACTTGCATATTCTTCAGGTGCTCTTGAACATCTAGTTCTTCCACCCTCTCTATCCATCCTTCTAGGCTTAAGTGGTCATTTCTCGTTTCACAGGGGTAAAACTAGCAAACTCTTTATCGGAATCCGTCGTGCAATAAAGCCGGAAAACAATACTTCAGCATCTCTGTTATCAAGTCAAAGCATCCAACATGGAGTTCTGTCTGGTGCCTTCCATGCGATTTCTACAGAAAGCTTGTTTAATGTGCATTATTATCCTTGGTAAGCCATATTGTTGAAAATAAGTTGGAGCTTGGAATAGTAGAATGTGAAGAACGTATAGTTTATTTTACTGTTTGTATTATGTGTTCTGTATGCAGGAAAAATCCAGTTGAATTCATTATCCCTTATGATCAATACATGAAGGCTGCCGAAATCGATTATGGTTTTGGGATGAGATTTAAAATGAAATTCGAAAGCACAGAGGGATTCCAAGTTGAAAGGAGCCCAAAGTAAGTGCCTTTGAAGTATAAAATACATGTTAAAATAATTGTTGTCAGCTCCTAATTTGCACAGAATTCACTTTGCTTTCACGTCAAAGTATTAGAAGTGACAAAAGAGAAGTTATTTCTTAATGTATTAATCATCTTATACCAGATATGGGGGTACTATCATTGGTATCAAAGATATTGATCATATCAGATGGCCTGGGTCAGAGTGGAGATGCATCAAGGTTAATAACTCAAAGCATTTTTAAGAAAAATATTCCAACCTATGTATCTATTTAAATATCATATTACATCTACTAATTTACAATTTCTTTAGCAGGTGAAATGGGATTCTGCAGAAGAAGCTGCTATTTGCCCCAACAGGGTTTCTCCGTGGAGCATTGAACTTGTTGAAATATACAAGACGAAACGAAAATCTATTCCATCGGACTCAAAGAAGGCACGGCCTTCCAATCCTTTGTTTCCCTTCTCTGTGAACGATGGTAAGCATGATAATGGTTTTATTTTAGGGATACCTCCCCCCCCCCCCCCCCCTCTCTTAAAAAATGTTAATTTACTTCATTTTTTACAGTAAAGTAAGATCTTGCACTGGAAATCTGATAAAATTTACTTTTAAGAACTTCAAACATGTTTGGCAAATAATTTACTTAAAAGTAATTTCTAATTACCAAAACATACTGGCATTTGTTCTATTCTCACTTAATTTTGTGCCTAAATGATCAAACTCATCCTTGATCTCCTTGAAAGGCTTAACAAAGAACTCTGTCGAGCACATACATCACAGACACTCAGGGGTCTTGCAAGGTCAAGAATTTGGAGCCGTTGATGCTTACAACCAGCGAACATCAGCACAGCTGCCAGCCGGTGACAGTGGCACATGCATGCTTTTCGGTGTTAATATTCTCGGGAACCAGCCCAAAGTCCCTTCCCCACAATTTTTAGTTGGTGGTGAACTCAACAGTTTTGATGTGGTCCCACCACCTTCATCTCAAGCAGGCATCATGGAAACCATTAATGTTCAGGAGCTATCTGATGGCAATCTTCAAGAAGAACTATACAGCTGTCTTCACATCAACCGGAGTTGCACAAAGGTACGCTATCCGAATGTGATGCAAATTGGAAAGTATATTCGAGGCGTAAACGAAATTAACATCAATTACAATAGAATTTTCCATTATTGCATTTTACTCATTTTTGGTAAATTGATTTTGTAAAAGGAAGATCATAATTTTTCCTTAGTCGTGATTTCCTTATTAGTCGTGTTTTTAGCCTATATGAAGAGATCCGTTGATTGTAATAAAGCAGATTTGAATATTGAATAAAACTACAATCTTCCCCTCATTTCTCTCCTTGTACTTTCTTCTCCTTCTTATTGTTCTTGTTGTTGCAATCGGCGTCAGAATGTCATTATATAGTAGGAATTAAACTTTGCAGCGGGAAGAACTTTCTTTGGCTAAGCCTAAAAAATATGTTGGGCAATAAATTTTACTTATGTTTGGCTAAGCTTAATAGTAACTTTTTAAGTACTACCTTTTTTAGGCTTAGCCAGGATTAGCTTCCTTCATTCACTTGACTAGATCGAGTTAATTTGGAGATGAGTCTAAAAATATTTTCTTCCAGGTAATGAAGTATGGAACTGCCCTTGGAAGATCCATCAATCTCTCACGTTTCAATGGTTATGGCGAACTTGTGTCTGAGCTTGACAAGATATTCGAATTTAGTGGCACTCTCATTGATGGGAGCTCTAATTGGCGCCTAAGCTACACTGATGGTGAAAGATACAAAATGCTTGGAGACTGTACCTGGGAGTGAGTACCAAATTCACATATAGGCCTAATATTCCATGCAATATTCTATTCGTAAGTACATGCTACTGCTGTACTGATTTTACTCGATATTTGAATTACAGGGAATTCCTGGCCATAGTAAAGAAGATGTTCATCAGTCCTAAAGAAGTTGCTGATTCTGTACATGCAAGGGCACCGATTTGAGTTTGCGTGACTGCATAGATGTGAACAGTCTTTGTATGTCCATAGGGCACTATAAATACTGGGTGAATCCTTGTGTGTTGTAGTAAGACGAGTTCTCCTCGTATGTGGTAATAAGACGAGGTCTGGATGTTAGACTTCGTAAACAATGACTTGTGTTCTTGTGTAAGCAGTCCCTTTTCCTCCTCCCCTTCTCTGTATGCTCAAGTTTGCAGACGTGTATGGTTAGTTTTACTGAGATTAGTGTACATTTTGGTCGAATGAAGTTGACAAGTTTGATGAACATATCGATCTATCAGTCCCCAAATGAAGAACCAAGCAACATTTCTTTGATGTTTGATGTAAGCTTTTCAATAGCTATTCGTCAAGTCCCATTGATGAACTTGAAATTTAGTCTTTAAAGGTAGATAAATGATATTATACACAAGAATTCGAAACAAGCATTAGTGAAAAGAATAAGCCAATAAGATACGGAACCATCCTTACCCTCTCGTGTAGAATGCTAATCCAGTTACAACACTATTTTGTGTACGTCAATGGGCGAATATTATATGAACTCATTGTCGAGAATTGGGGGAATACTGTTTCTTGACAAGTGGCATTAGAGTCGTGTATCAAACTTAGTTATACAGATGCACACAACGAATTTCCAGACGTACGTGAAAGTTCTGAATAAAAGTGTAGGTTTCAATTGATTTTGATGGCAAGATATTTCGTGATAATCTTTTGTAAACTATCGGTGGCTCCACTCATCACTTGATGGTGTCCCAAAGATGTGGCTTAGAGTTGAACATGGTCTGGTTCGATTCGATTATCTTGAACCAGAATTTTCGAATATTTAATAAATAGAACCATCAAATTTAAATTTAATTATGAAACCGAACCAGTCGGTTCCGTACCATAATTAATTTTTTAATATTTATAACAACATTGCATAATTCAACTAACGACATGTTCGGAGTAAACCTGATATAGGATGGCATAAACTAAATACTGATGGGGCATTGAAATCGAACTCATTAGCTTCAGGTGGTGGGATATTGAGGAATAATATGGGGACTGCAATTTGGGGCTTCTATGACTACTATGGTGATTGCTCTATCTTGGAAGCTGAACTCAGAGCAATAGAAACGGGACTTCATTTGTGTTTGAAACACGGCATCAAGAAAGTTTGGATTGAAACGGACTCTCAAGTGGCCCTTACTTTGATTACACAGGACAATGGATCATGGGAAGTCCAATACTTATTACAATCCATTAGATGGCTCACGGAAAAAATGGAAAATAAAATCACACACACCTGGAGGGAAGGCAATCAAGCTGTGGACTGGTTCGCTGCTAAAGGTAATAGTAAAAAGAAGTTTAAATAGATTGATGCTAGAGATTTTAAGGGAAGAATAAAAGGTATTGTGAAGGTAGATAAAATTGGTTTGGAGTCTATTAGATTAGTTTCTAACTAGTTTTAGCTTGCTGTTTTTAGTTTCATTTTTTGAGCTGTTATTGCATATTGTACATGTTTAGCTTAGTGCATATTACATCTGTAGTTTGTAGAAGTTTTTTTGTAATTCATTTGGAGGTAAGGTACATTAGTTCCCCTCCTTGCATTGTACTTGTTTTCATTTAATAAAATTCATATCCTAAGGTTTGGATTTTCAAGCTAGAATATTTTACCAAAAAAAAAAAAAACTAACGACGTGTTCAATTTTAGCTCTTACAACAACACTATATTAATACTTACAAAATAACTTAGTTCAATTTAAAAATGATTAATAGCAAAAAACCCCCCTAAAAATGTTTCCATTTGCGATATATCTCTTACCTATTAGAAATCGCAGAAAATCCTCATATTTGAAACATTTTGTGCAAAAAACCCCCTGCCGTCATGATCGATCGGATTTCTGTTAAGACGGTAAAAAATGCCAAAATTAAAAAACAATAATTGCAATTTCAGTACCCAAACTTTTTTTTTTTAATAAATTAAATCCAAATTTTTTATGTGTCGTCTACAATCCCAAATCTTTAAAACTTCATTTTTCACCCCACTTCATCTTCTTTCCCAAAAACCTAAGGATGTGTTTGAGCCACATTATTTTGGAAGAATATATTTTGGAATAGTAGATTGATGGAGAACGTGTTGTTGAAAAAAAAAAGGAAAAATTATTAATGTGATGGAAAATATTATTTTATTGAAGAATGTGTGGTTAAAAATGAGTAGAAGAATGATAATTAAAATTTTAATGTAGATCAAACATGGGCTAATTTTGTCTATTTTGGAAAATTTTTCAAATTAAAATTAAAAGGGATAAAATGATAGCTTTAAAATTACCAAATTAAATAAATAGACAAGAAAACCAAAAAAATTAGGAAAAAATAAAAAACCAATTTTTTATTTTAAATGGCTATCCCCTTCAAGAATAAATCTAAGTGTACAACATTGGTTGTAAACAATGTGTTGTCAAAATTATAGCATGTGATGTAAAAAACAATTTTTTTTTTAAATATATAGATATGATGATGTTGTCAATCAATGTTGTCAACTAATGTTTTACATATAGCATGATTCCATCAAGAAAGCACCACTATTTGAATCACCACACCACCAACTCCTCCTTACCCTCCAAAATCACCAAGGCCGTCAACCCAACCTTGCTCCACTCCGCTGTCGCGGTCTTTCCACCACCTTCTTTTCCCTCCAAAACTTCCACCGCCGTCTTTTCTTTTTAGTCCAGTCAAAATCTAGGTCATCCGAAACTTCTAATTCCAGTCAAAATCTATTTCAGCTGGATGAATTGAACCAGATTTTTCCCTAATCTGTTGCAGCTCTGCCTCAAGATATCCAATCTGTTGCTGCATTATCAGAATTTATCCATATGTTTCTACATTAAATTGAAAACCCCAACAAATCACATCATCACTAGTCATCGAAAAGTGGATTGGACAAAATAAAATAATAGGAGGATGTTTGGTGGGAATTAAAATTAGATTTTTAGTGGATTATGATAGAAGTTTTTGAAATGTGTGGTTGAAAAGATGTGGGACTCATGAAAGATGTGGTTAATATTAATTGTTTGACTTTGACTTAAATTAAAATCATATTTTAATTCGACCCAAACAGGCCCTAGATCAAAAATTATAACGACAAAATGCGAAATCGATTATCCTCACGTATTCACACCTNTCCAATACCTTGGAAGGTTTTTTATCAACAAATTTCAGAGTGTTTGAATCAATTGGATTTTAAAGCTACCAGTTTACCCGTTATAATTTTAATTTGGGTGGAGTCTTAATTGGATTTTTGGGGAAGAAGATCAAGAGGGGTGGAAAATATAGTTTTAAAGATTTAGGATTGTAGGTGGCACATATAAAAATTTTGAATTTAATTTGTAAAAAAAAATAAAAATTTGGATACTGAAATTGCAATTATTTCTTTTTAATTTTGGCACTTTTTATTGTTTTAATGAAAAATCTGACGGATCGTGATAACAGAGGATTTTTCACACAAAAGGTTTCAAATAAGAGTTTTCTGCGATTTTTAATAGGTAGAAGGTCTATCGCAAATAGAAACGTTTTTAAGGAGTTTTCTATTATTAATCTATTTAAAAATACACAAATAACATGTTTTCTAATAAGATCCATTCACCAGTGCATTCAAATTATCTTGATCAAAGTAGAGAAAATTCAATGAATAGTGCAAGAAAAGAGTAAGATGAAGAGAGGCGTGCTGCTCAGCTTCGATTATTTGAAAAATAACAGGATGGCTGAGAAAAACTTAGATCACTCAATTTTGATTCTTGAAATTTGAATTAAAAAGTTGGGTTTGACCTGAAAACAGGAAAATGATATTTTAGGTTCAATTAATTAGTTGGTAAATGAAATAGAAAAATAATGTTTTTGGTTTAATTAATTAGTTGGCAAATGAAACAGGAAAAAAATAAAATAATTTGACTTGTTTAATATAAAAAAATTAAAGAAATTATGAAGATTCTATTGTTATTCGATTATTCGATTCTTGGTCTAGAATCGAGAATCAAACTAAACTCATCAATTTTTGATTCTGATACACGTTCGAATATTTAATTTAAAAAGAATCGCTCATTTCAGTTCGACTTCGAGTCATAAGTTTTATCGAGCCCTATGTGGCCCTTCAATCTAAGGACTATTCGAGACGTCCCAACAAGAAGTCCCATGTTTGCAGCTCACAGGGGCTCCAAAGAGCTTTAAAAATAAAATAAAATAAAAAATCCCATCAAAATATCGTTAGCTTCAGGATTTTCTTCTACACAACTCCCTCATCCGCTAACACGGCAGGCTGTTAAAGTTCATCCATTTGCCCCAATTTTCCCGCCATTGAAATTTTCCATTTTCAATTTCACTACAAAATTGAGGGAAAACCAAATTGTTGAAGAAATGGGTACCCTAATATTCAATAACTCGATTATGATTAACCCATTATTTACGAAAACTAGCAAGGTTAAAATTGGAGAAATTGGTATCCCGTACCTTAAATTTCAATATAACTGCTTTCAGCAATGTCAAGCTCGAATTGCCGCAATTCCAACATTGTTTTCTTACTCCAGTCCACAGAGCGACGGCAGTGAAGATCCACAGAATTCTCTTCAAGACCTTAGGGTTCCGAACCATTGGTGTGACCCCTCCAAAGCGTCAGAGGTATTTCTTTTTTTCTTTTGAGTTTACTATTGCAGTTTTTAATTTGAACAAGGCTATGTTAATTATGGCACTGTATTTGTAATTAAAGTAGTGACAACATTAAAGCCTGTTTGAGCCCCATTTTTGGGGAAATTAGGTTTTGAAATAGTAATTTTTTTTATTTTTTATTTTTAGAATGTGTGGTTAAAAAGTTATCCTATTCAGCACAAATGATCTTACGTACCAGTCTGCGTGGCAACTGCTTGTCACTGAACAATAGATTCACTTAAATGCAATATGAAAAGTGTGTGCTCAATGAAGCTCAAACATAGGCTAATTGATTTTTAGTTTCTTGTACTGTTAATGTGATTAGTAATGGGTTAAAAATAATAGTCATCGGATTATGAGCGAAATTGCAAAATTTTGTTTCAAGTCGACAAGCGTTGCCATTATATGGTAAGATTGGTTGAAAGAGTTGTGTGATAAAAATTGTTAGTTGTTCTATTTAGTTCTGTTCTATACAACTTATTAAACAAGCAGTAATTAGCTAAGAATTTTACTTAACGTGATTTGACGTAGTGGTGCCATAAACTGAATAGAGTTGCAAAAAAGAAAAAGAAAAGATTCATGTACCTGAATCCGATTTTATTAATTGTAAGATTTTATCAAATTCTCGATGAAGTTCATCTTCGTAATAGAGTAGTAGCCACATACAGTTGGTTGAAATGTGTTTTAAAATAGCATTCAGTAAACAAATAAGCTTGCCTACTAATTGTTATCCATTTGAAGATAAAGGAACAATGTTTAATTTATTACAACAGTTTTTAAATTCTTTTGTTATTACCTTGTTTTAAAATGTTCCTGGGCTTACATTCCTCCTGGCTTGCCCTTAACCTTGCTAAATAAGACATTTTAAGTGAAAAATTCAGGAGATGGCTATTTCACACTTTTGACCTTTAAACCATGATGGTTTTTTGTAAAAATATCCTCCTGAACCTTTCCCTTTCATGCCTAAAATCTCCAATTGTTTGGTGAGTAATGTCTGGTCGTGTATTTTTGAAGGAACAAGTAAAAATGTAATATATAGACAACTTAGAATCAATAGCAACTTCATAATTGATTAAAATTGTGTCTTTTTATGCATAAACCCCAAAATCGTTCTGTGTAATGTATGGTTGTGTATTTTTGGATAGGACGATTAGAAATTGTAATAAAGAAGGGTTTATAAGGGAGTAATTGATTTCAAAGTTAGTGGAATTTGTTATTTGTTTACGCTTATGAGAAGTAGTATGTAAATTGTTTCTGAAAATACGGTGTGTGAATTGTTGCAATTACACTCCTATAGGGTGTGTATTCTAAATTTCCCATGTCCCTTTACCTTCTCGTCTCTGTTCTTGTTTTAAAGAAACTTTTTGTATCTATGGAGACCCTAAATTTGCTGGAAGTCTGTAAAAAGTTTGCAATGGCCTTCAGATGAATGATTTGGGTTAAAATATGTGTTACATGTGGGCAAATTCATGTTTTGCTGGTTCAACTGCAGGAATCTGAATGGCTAAGAGTGACTTTGCACAAATGGTTAGACGATGAGTATTGCCCAGAGCCAACTAATGTTGAGATAAGCAACATTGCTGCCACCTCGTACTACAAATCACTGGTCGAAAAACAAACCGATCTGGGAGAGATTTTGTTAAAAATGGCAGTAGAATTGGAATCTATATCCTATCAAGAGAGCTTCCATGGAGCATTTTCCTCGGCAAATGCAGCAGTGAATCTTATTATTCAGCGGATAGCGCTGGAGTAGTTGCTCGACTTTGCAAAGGCTTGGAACCTTCAACCCGCATAATTTTTTCTGTAAACACGAGTTGGATGTATCCAATTGTATTATCAGTTCCACCATAAATCAGTGATGAATATGCACTTCTTTTTTAATATTTTGTGTTGTGTGTCGAAAAAGGTGTTTATATTATTTATTTGAAAAACAATCGTCATAGCAAATTCTTTCTTCGTAGACTTGGGGGATGAAACATTTTGCAAGCCATGCAAATTATCACGTGTTCGATACGAGAATCAGTTGTTCGATACGAGAATGATGGATCTCATACCTATCACAGCTCGAATTCAACATCTATTATGAATTAGAATTATGTTTACACACTTAATTTTGTAAGTATTGCATTAAACGACAACGTGTTTACGCATTTCATATGTC